CAAACTTCACTTTTTAAAAAATGTTCAAATATAATTTATAATTATATCCACTGACTCATTATGTTAGAAAAATGACTATAGCATGTATACCATTTAAAATGATTTCTTGGAGTACTTAGAAGAGGGCTCTGTTGCTGAGATACTACCTCTCAATCACGAGAATCTGAGTTCATATCATAGATAACTACCTAAAAGTAAGGTTCCATAGTATAAGCCTTTAATCTCAGTGTTGAATTGGGTGGATACATGCAGATTCCTGGAACACATTGGTGGGCCAGGCTTGAGGGGTCCATAAACTCAAGATGCAATAAGAGATCCTATCTCAAAAACTATGATGGAAAACACTCAAGGAAGACACCTGATGTTGACCTTTAGCCTACACACACATGTATATACATCATACACACACACACACACACACACACACACACACACACACACATACAGAAAGAGAGAGACAAGGAATATGAGTTTTCCTGGTATTTGTTACTACATTGGGAGAGCACTTCTCCTGATAAGAAGCCCAATTGATTGAGCAGTTTTCCAAATCTTTGGTCCACTAACTCTTTTTTCTACTGGTAATGATTGCATGGTACAACCTATATTAAAAAATTTCTTTACCAGTGTTTAATAACTAAGAAAGTCCCTATATTTCACACAGGCTGTTAGGACTGAAGCTTTGTGTAACATGACTCATTTCTGGGACTATGAGATAAAAGACCTGTGCACACCTTGTGAAAGAGTGTATGGGATAGACAGGAAGCATGTACTTGGTATGAGAAATTTTTCTTATCCTTTTTATGTATTTATGTGTGATCATTTATGTGTGATTATGTACTACATGTGATTATTTTTTTCTCTGATTCTTCCATTTCCAGTTCCCTCCTGCCATTACTGACATTTTTTCCCTTTTATTTTTGATGCCAAGAGGATGGTATTAACTAGCCATTAACAACACAGAGCAGTATGCTCTGACTGTTTGAGCCTTTAAATAGTTCTTCGTTTGGATCTAAAAAGTAATATTTACTGAAAAAAAAACTATAGTTCCTGTCATTTAAAAAAAAAAAGAATTGTAGAAACATCAGTTTTTGGCAAATGTGTGCTCTCTGATGAGGAAGTGACTGACCCTTTCTGTGTCATTTCCTAGCTCTGAAACCTTATTGACACCAAGCTCCTTTGTGAAGGAGTAAACATAAAGGTCTTTGCTAATGTCCCTGACTCATTAGTAGTGGACATTGTATGTCTGGCTGGCACTTTTCCCCTGTGTTACGGTAATGTTGGCCTCATGTAGTGTTTCATAACCTTCCCTAACTCTTGTGTGTCAGTGAGAATCAAAGGACTCTTTAGAGTGAAAGACAAAAGCTTGCCTGGGAGTCCTCAGATGAGCAATCCCTGAGCAAGACATGGGACTTAGATTCTACAGTCAATGCTCATTTGTCATTCTTTGTGAGAAATTATCGTTTGTAAAAGTATTCTTCAATTTTTATCTGTTTTGGGGGTGGGTGGTGGGACAGATCTTGAATTTTTTTCATTCACTTTACATCCTGATCTCACTACCCTTCTCTTCTCCCATTTCTACCCTTACAAATCCCTCCACCCATTATCCCCTCCCATTCTCAGAGAAGTAGAAGCCCCCTTAGGTGCCACACCACCTTGAGACCTCCAGTTGGCAGCATAGACCCAAGCACATCTCATATTGAGGCTCAACTACGTAGTCTAGTTAGGGGGAAAAATCCAATAGCAAGCAACTGAGCCAGAGACAGGATCTTCTCCAGTTGTTAGTGGACCCACATGAAGACCAAGCTGCACATCTGCCACAAATGTATAGGGGGCCTAGGTCTAGCCCTTGTGTGCTCTTTGGTTGGTGGTTCAGTCTCTGTGAGTCCCCCAGATTTTATCTTTACTGTAGGGAGTCATTCTCTATGGTTTGATTTCTCTCCTTGATGGAACATTTGGGAATACATTGGATCAGAATAATTTTATATAAAAGGCACTGAGTGGTCAGGTAGACATTCTATTCAGGCACTTATCAGAAGGACCACTTGTTTTGTCCACTGTCTAATTTCCGAGTTGGAAATAACTTATTTTCCTCACCAGGATGGTAATGTGTGAAAAATGACATGGCAGAGCATAGACTCCAATTAAGAAAGAAAGGTTCTACTGTTCCTTAGTTTGTTTAAAAAGGTTGATTTTTTAATTCATATGCATGTATTTGTATATGCCACTCTATGTAGATACCTGTACAGATCAGAAGAGAGCATGAAATTTCCTGGAGCTGGAGTTATCCCTAGCAGTGCTCCACTCAGAATGGATGCTGTGAACCAAATTCAGTTTCTCTGGAACTGCTCTTACCCACTGAGCCTTCTCTCCTCTCCCGTGGGCTTCTGTTCTTAGGGGACCAGAAGAGTTTGTGTCTGTCGCTTGTGAGAAGGTCAAAGTAATGGTGGGACTTTTCAAAGTGTATAGTATTGTGATCTCAAAAGAACTACTGTGACATTTGGCCAGCGTGATATTTTGTCCCGTTGCTTTGCCTCTGCAAGGATGTCACGCTATATGGAAGAATCTTTGTTCCTTGATTGTGGAAATAAAAATGTTACCGAATTTGAGTGCTCTGCCACTCCTTCAGTAGTTTGTGGTCATTGTGCTCTAAGTAATTTGCTTTCTCTAGCTGTGCCTGTTGCTCAGCTCATCCTGTTTTCATTCCTCCCCTCAATGAGTGGGAAGAACAATGGTGTTTTTGATGGACACGCACAAACTTTTCTTTATGAAGAGGAAAGT